AAGACATTATTAGCCAAAAATTGAATCCAGTTCAGGATTGAGGTACTGTGGGCTCCTGAGTGACATTAACCTGCTAAAAACCACCTTCAATTAAATACGTAGTAAATTAAATGATATCCCATTCAACCCTTTCCCCCATTAAGTATATGCTGTGTCATGTAGGGTCTTTCCTTAAAGATAATGATGCATTAAACTAATGTAGTACACAGTTTCTGAGATGTCTCTAAAAACCTACTGTAAGCATACACGTCATAATGGGTGGTAATAATAAAGGACAAAAAATAAGCAAACCTTAAATGGATTTATAATTTTTAATACCCTTTAATAGTGCATGAATCCAGATCCAAAGGAAGTTGGCAGGACTACTGACAAAGGAAAAGACTCGATCAGTGAAAGTTACAGAAGTTGGTACAAACAGTGCCTAAAATGGTGCCAACAAGTGATTCAGCATAATTACTCATAATTACTTGAAGAGTATTACAAAAAAAAACATTCCAGAACAGGTTCAATTCACTTCCCATTTGTGTTATCAACATGCTAATGCTAATATCAATCTGCCTCACTGTTTTCTTAAATATTGAACATGTTATTGAATCAAAGCGCGGGTCTGAAAATTTGCTGGGACATGCAGTTCTACGCAGAACCTTGCAGACGTGTGGTTAGCATTGCTGCCTTGCAGCGCTGGGGCCCTGGGTTCAATTCTGGACCTGTGGTTGTGTCTGTGTGGAGTTTGTATGTTTGTGCGGGTTTTCTCCAGGTGCTCTGGTTTCCTCCCAAAGCCCAAAGACATACTGGTCTGTTAAGTGGCTTCTGGGAAACTTGGCCCTAGTTGTGAGTTGTGTTGTCAGCCCTGCGATAGACTGGCGTCCCTTACAGGACGTACCCTGCCTTGCTCCCATCCATTGCTTGCTGGATAGGATCTGGCTCCCCCCCTGACCCTGAATCTGAAGAAGTGGTAAGTAGATGGATAGATAAGTTACCCTTAGTAATGCCAGCAAAGAACAAAGAAAAAATGTTTTTTGCATAAGTATCTGGACCCCTGAACTCAATATTTCAAGGGAGAACCCTTGGCAGCAATTCTAGACAAGCCTTTCTGAGTAAGTCACCACTACATTTGCCCCAGGCATAGTGCACTTTTTCCCTATTCAGATTTATTCTGGCTATCTCAAGTTGCGTGGAGATTGCTTACAGATAGCAGTTTTCAAATCCTTCCACAGGTTCTCAGTAGTATTCAAGTAACAATTTTGACTGGGCCCCTCAAGGACATTTGTGTTCCTATTCTTAAGCCACTCCAGTACAGCTCCGAGCTTGTGCTTTGGATCAGTGTCCTGCTGAAAGGTGAAATTTTATTCCATGTTTTAAGTCAGAATCAGGTTTTCATCTATGAATTGTCAGTAATCTGTTCCATCCATGTTCCCATCAGTAATAACAATCTAAACATAATGCTCCCACCACCAAGCTTGACAGCAGGAATGGTGTTGAGTGCTACACTGTGTATGGTTTGTGTCAGATCTAACTCTTGTATTTGTATAACTCTTGCAATGAGTCCCCCAAAAATATCTGTCTTGTCTGACTACAAAACCTTTTGCCTTATGTTTGCAGTATCACTTAGGTGCTGTGTTGTAAACCCCATAAAGGATCTGAGATGGTTTTATTTTCAATGTCATACAGTCTTCCTTTGTGGAGTGGCTGGGGTATTGTTGACACATGGACATTTCTTCCCATATCAGCCACTGAACATTGTAGCTCTTTCAAAGTCACCTCTGGCTTCACAGTTGCATATCTAATCAGTGGCTTTCTTGTCTGGCTGCTAAGTTTGGAGGGACAGCCTGATCGAGGCAGTGTCTTGGATCCTTCTATCAACTTCACCACATTTAAAAAGATATTAAGGGTCTTAATATCTTTTGGTCTGTGTCTTTCCACAGATGAAACCTTTATTAACTTTAACAACTATACAAGTCGTTCTGAAAGCTCCTTAGCCTTCATGGTTGAATCTTTGCTAGATTCCCAACCTGCATAAGACTTCCTGAAGACAACTGTATTTATTCTGAAATCATGTAAGCCAGTACTATTGCACACAGACAAAGAGCCACAACAATTTGCGTGTCTTGTTAAGGTAATATTGTTCACTTAAAGCAATAAGGGTTTGCCACAACAAAGTGTTTGAATACATATGAATCGTTACCTTTTCGTATTAAATTATTATCTATTTAGTTTATTTTTTACTTCGTATTTTCTGGAGTACATTGTGCATACAACGAACAAATATCTACTTAAGAGTGTCATAACTGCTAGCTTTATATCAACAGTGGGAAAACTGTGCAAGGGTCTGAATACGTTTGCAAGACAATGGATAAATTATATGTGTATAGCTGGAGATGGCTGAACAAAGGATTGTAAAAGAAAAGTTGGAATTCGGATCTGTACACAAGATTGTATACATTGTTTCTAAATCGTCAAGCCATTCCTCTTGCAACTCATATTATTCTTCACCTGGTTATACTGAAGTCCCTCTCTTCTCCTGCCTCCAATGGAATCTGGTCAGCTGCTCAGTGACAAGAGGTTAAATGTTTTTTTTGTTTAGACAGGCCCTGTGCCTAATTGATATCTCTGACACACGTCAATACCTGCTGTAGCCTCTATTTCTAAAGCCTGCAGTTTAAACACAGCCATCCGGTCAGTTAAAAATCCAGAGGGAGCAAAGATATCGATGGGAAGAACTGGAGTTAATGGGGGGGTTGTACTAACCCATCCCCAGAGAGATGACAATCACAGAGATGGAAGTGGGGGTTGGATCACAGCAAACAGGGACAAGTCTAGGGAGGTCAATGTCCTGAGCCCATTTAAAACCATACCTGGCAAAATCCAGGCTCCTGGTACTGGTTGCATACTGGATATGGAGACAGTATCTCATTTGTTATGAAATAACCCAAGTTCTTGTCTCTCTTCAAATAGCAGGCAAAGCTATTATCAATAAAACTTTGTCTCAAAGGACCAGACAAAGTTTCTCCAGTGACACAGACCTGAAGACTTTGCCAAGACACATCAAAACATTGTGGTCTTGATTAATCCACAATGAATAATTAAAAAAAAACAAAACAAACCTAGATCAACTTTGATGATATATTCATTCCGACATGGATATATCTAGACCAACACACTGCTAAACCAGGATTCAAAAATGTCCTTCAAGTGATTCTTATTTAAATTGGAATTATTTTAGCCTATTGCGTTTGTCATCTCACATAGGCTTAATCAATTCAAATATCCTACTACGCAGATCTCCAAAATGTGAAAAATAGCAATCGGTTCAGTACGAAAAACCTAGAGTGAACTGTTTCAATTGAATGGGGACCTTCATGAACATTTAACTGGAATAAGACTATGAACTTGATGGTAAATGCCAAATAAATAACTTAAACCAAAAATTATTTTAAAATTGAACAGATATAGTTTACCATTACTGCCATATTAGTAATGGTTATATCTCATTGTAGAATGAAACCTTAACTATGGTGAAGAACATCTGCTTTAAATATCATTCTCACTGTATATGGTCAGTATCGAGTAAATGAGTTTAGCTGTTTTGGTCCTCATTCAAAAACAGAGAAAGTCATGTTTGTGTGGCTTTCTCCCTCTGGTGGCTACTAACCTCAACTGCACCAACCTAATTCAGAAACCCTTTTCCAGTGTGAATCCACACCACTTCCAAGATCCGGAAAGAACATGGTCACCCTGCATGCAAGAGCGTGTTCAGACACACAATTCTAATCACTTGATTTGAAAAGGTGTGTGATAGTACCAGTTTAACAGACGAGAGCCACAAATATTATTTTAATTACCTCAGAATTACCGGTCTTTTCAAGTGGAATAAACGAGGACACACTAGTACTGTATAATGCTAGGTGACTCTCCATGGGCCTTCATAATAAACTTGCAGTGTAGTTTTGCTTTACAAATATTGTACCTCTATCAGTTTAGGATCTATGATATATTAAAGAGAAGCTGTGCAAGGCTGAGCCTGGTCAATACTCAGGGAGACCTGCCAGGAAAAAACAAGTTGCTGCTGCAAGTGGCACTAGAATTTCCATTACATTGCCAATGGACAGCAACAATGTGTTACAGGAGGTATCAACAGGATGAGTACAAAGGTTTTGACCACCTGGACATTAACATTTCCGTGGCACTTTTTAAATGAATGGGTGTGTTAACACCTGTGTTCTAGCTTGGATCCACTCTGGGCTAAAACAAACAGGCTTTCCTAAATTTTATTGTTAATTCAGGTGGTGAAGTAATTTCTCTCTTCCCTGCCTGAGAAGTGCAGTGGTGCATCATCTAAGTGGGTGCTGCACTTCAGTAGTGGATGAAGAGGATCTTTGCTGTATGTGAAAATGTTTAAATTCTTTGAGATCCCTTAGGTTGAAACGCACTTTATCAAGCCAAATATTTATAATTGTAAATTCAGAATAATTTAGAATTTAAAATGAGTAGTTTAACTACAAAATCCTTTATATCAGAACAGGACTAACAAGAAATGTATAGTGTAATTCCCCCACTATACACTAGATAAATGCTGTGCTTAGTGACTGAAAGAAGATGTACAGTATGTTTATAATATTGTATAATATCTATCTATGGAAAGTCAAGAAAACACAAACATTTGACCAAATATTTGCACAACATTTCCAGATGCTGGTTTCACAAAGTATATGGAAATGGTATCTGAATGCTCTTTGGCATCACTTTCAATTTCAGGAAACACCCACACTTTGAAATCAGTTTGTTAGTTCATGCAAAAGGACTTGTAAGAACCATTACTTCACAGGACCGCTGTCACTGTCACAAAGAAAAAAACAATTGGATACTCTTTTATTCCTAGTGTGCAGAAGGGCCATACCATGGAGTCTCTCTTTCTGAGGACACGGATACTTACCATAGAAACAGTTAAACCTGTGTGGATTCAGGTCCTATGGCTCTGGACTCCCCTCTGCCTCACTCACCTTGGCCAGCACAGAGATATAGAGCTTGAGAGCGCTGAGAGCTTCTCCTCTGATCTCTGGGTAAGCTGCCACCTCCACTCGCAGAGAATAATGCAGCGCTGACTCCAGATCTGCCATATACACCCGCGACCTGCCAACACAGTGAAACGCAATTCACTTTTTACCCTTTATTAGAACGGTAAAAACCAGGAGAGCATACTTCCACCTTTCTTTTACTGTTTTAAAGTCATTGCATGTGCAGTACATCAAAGCCATCAACAAAACTGTCTCATTTACCTAATTTGACAATAATTCAGGGCTTTAGAATATTGAGATTTGATTTCACATTTCCAGCAAATATGAACTGCTGTGTATCAATCCAGAAATGCTTCACTCAACAGCTAGTGTAGTGGTCTCAAAACAGTGTGTTTTGAAATGTGTTGTGATTTTACACCTTGACACCTCTAGCAAACTCTGGATTCCTGATACTCCTTTCATCTCCTTTTGATCCACAAACCTCACGATCCTTACAGTACTAAAAGTACAGTAAATCCTTAATTGATTGACATTGGGCCCCCTGCCTGAGTCCATCTCTTAAAAAGTTTAAAGATCTTTTTAAAACTATTTTTTAATGAAAAGCTGGCTCAGCTTTTCATAACTCCCATACCTCTGAGAATTATTATTGTTTATTAAGAATTACTTGCATTTTATTTGACTTGCACCATTTGAAATTTGTACTGAATTGATCATGTACCGTACATCTTGTGATCCTAGCAGCTAACCTAATGTTTAATATAATGAAGAGCTCTTAGACGTACTGCACATGAATTACTCTTTATAATATAAAACAATGAATGATTTTGAAGAGTCACTAAGCACAATCTGGACAGTAGCCAGTCACCCAGATCTGTCCTTTCACAGAGTAGACAGGCAGGACCACAGTAAAATGTGAACAGAACGCCCAGTGTCAGCTTCTGCATCACAGTAGGTTTTTGTAAATAAACAGCTCATGCTTTCAGTCTTAAATACACTTATTCTTACTAAATGTTTACTATTTAGGAGTGAAAACCATATTAGACTAGAAATACAAATTTACGTAATGCAGCCTTATACCAAAAATGTCAAAAAATAAAAATGCACACGTCCAAGCATTTTAAAATAGAATGAATAAAAACTGCAATTCAAAAAATCTTGGCTGGATACAGAAAATGCTTGCTCAGGAAAGAGATAGCCACCAGCCCCATTAGGAAATAATTTCAATCACCATCATTCTTCCAGGGATCAGATTTGTAGAGAGGGCAGATTCTGTTTGCCAAACTACCCAAAGAAAGCTTGTTAAACAAACTGCGTGGATGGCATAAATCCCCAGAGAGACGAGGGTTAGAAGTTCTTGAGATAATTGCTTGGCTCTGGTACCATGTTAACTCCGATCTTACCTGTTAAACTCCCTCCACTCGCGATCCACGGTGCTTTTGCTGTGACTGTCGTTCGCGCCCTGAGGTTTCCCTGCCCGAGCCACCCTGGGTAACTTCTGGAGGGCATAAGAGTAAAAGGAACGGGCCTCTATGTTCCTGTGAAGGACAGAAAAAAGGCAATGTTAAGAACACAGCAATGAGTCGACATCAGTGATTTAACAAATGTTCTTAAGTTAATTAAGTTAATAATGAAATTACATTATATGAAATTAAGCTATGCAGAAGGATACATGTAATAAGCTTTGTGAAGCAGTCCAACAATCTACAGTATTGTAGTGCACATTTAAAGTGTTAAAATGCAGAGAAGCATGTATAAAATACAAAAAGTACAGGTGACAAATCAGAAATCTGAGACAAAAGCAGGCCAAGGATACCTTTACTGTATGTACATATTTGAGTTTAAGAAAATGTGCGTGTGGCCTGATACCCAATAGTAGTGGGACCAAGCACTGCTCTACTGGTGATAAATCTGCAGGCTTAAAGATTTGGTTCCTAGCACGTCAGCCTAAAAAACTAAACACAGTGTCCATTTATGGTTTCCAACAACAAACTGTATGACAAATAGTATCAAGGATCAACTGGAGCACATATTTGGAAAAGCAGATATCTGAACTGCTGTGGTACTGCAATTTACCTCCTAACAGGAGAGCACAACACAAATTTAAAATGCAATGTCTCATTGCAGAAAAAACTCACATAGTCAATTGAGAGGCAAGGAGTACAAAACAAATGACAATAAAATGAAAATGAATAATATTTTCTTAATTGCTAAAGAGCAATTTTACATGGACCTATATTTTGAATCTCTATTATCACAACTGATTAAGAGATTACTCTCTATGCTCAATAGGTGATTATGAAATAGAACACCCCATGAATTTCAGTAGTGTGTACCACAAATCTCTCATGATAAAAGGTCTAAGTGAAAAGACGTAGTAGAATATTCTACACGTGCATTCCTAAATAGATGGCCACTACTTCAACTCTCTAAGCTTTAAGTAGTGAGTCTCAGTTACACCGGGGCAGCCTGCTAAACCCTGAGTTAGACAGTGTTGAAATAAAATGAGATGAGAGAAAAATAAACACTTCGTATGTCAAGTATTTTAAAGGGGAACTACAGTTCTCAGACTGGTTATTAATTCATTCATTCACACCATAATTCATACCATATGAATTTATACCATAATTCATTGATGGTATAAATTGTTTTACAAATGTCAAATTATGTACAAAATCATGAACTTTATGAAAGTACTGTAAGTCGCCATGTTGTAGCAAACCTGTAATCTCTCCATGGGCGGAGGTGAGACTTTGCAAGGATTGTGACGCGAGGTGGCCCTTCCTGCTCGCTAGGCACTGTAATGACTAATGTCACGTAATGTACGAGCAAATAAAAATGTATTGTGCAGCAGACATTTCACTGCAGAAATGTGCCAACGTGATCTGCATGCAACAACAGCAAGCAGAGTTAACAAGTAGTATCTGCCATCAAAACCATGTTGAAATCAAAAATAATATTTCTACTGGATTAAAAGATATATTTACAAGATATCAGATTTACAGATATCACCGGAAGCTTCGTTGCTTCACTCTGAATCGCATCCTGGGAAAGTTAGTCTACATTGTGATGTAAATTGAAGGTTTTACACTTTACTGTGTACATTTTACTTTTATTGTGCTTTGAAATGCACTCATCAATGTTAATTCTTTCTAATCCCCAAAAATAAAAATAGTGTCGCAGTTCCGCTTTAACAGATTCAAAGCAAAATCACCATGCTGTCTTTAAATACTACACATTTTTGTGAAAAGGACACAAAATGGCCAGTAGGATTTTGTAATGTGCTTTAAGACATTTTTTCACCTTATACATATTGTCCCCATTAGGCAATTTCTATCAATGTCTGAAGATGAATGTCTGATTCATGCATTTAGAACCTCAAGACTCTTTTACTCTATGGGCTCCCCACTCTCTACTCAACAAGTTGCAATATGTCCAAAACTCTGCAGCTAAACTGCTGACTCACAACAGACCTTGGCAGCATATCACTCCTACACTTAAATCTCCAACTTGGTTGCCTATAAAGTCATGTACTTAATATAAGATCTTGTTACTGACTTTCAAGGCTCTAAATAATCTGGCCCCATCATACATGTCCAAAGTCCTCCATGTTTACACTCCCTCCAGTGTGCTGCGTTCAGTTGAGGCTGGTCCTTTGCTCACTACAGTATATCTATGACTAAATCTCAGACTTTTGGTGACTGTCTTTTCTGTTGCTGCTCCTCGGGCCCTACGAAAGGCAAATTCAAGCTCAAAACTCACCTTTTTTACCAGGGCCTATTTCTGATAGCCCCACATCTGTATCTGTATAAACCGCCATGCTCTTGCTTATTTTTCTTTACTTTATCACTACCTTGGATTTGGAAAGGCGCTTTATAAACAAAAGATGGGACGTTTTTGCAACTAGTATTCAAGAGCAATAAGCAAAATACTCCCACTTAATTACTCTTGCTGTTATTTACTTCTTCAAATGATGAAAACCTAGACAAATGGTTTTTTTAACTGAAACAAATTAACTATTTCACTTAGCTTTCTGCTCTTGTTTCAGAAAGCCACTTCATTTCCAAATAAATCATATGTGCATTAAACTCTTAACTGTGAACTTGTAGGTTCAGCTACCCCGTCTGCCTCAGTGTGAACGTACTCACATCTGATACATGAAACTACAAAAGGGCAGTTCCACAAATAATTCTTAATATTCAGACACTGATATTTGAATGGAAAGCCGTTAAACAAAGAAAATTGAAACAAAAATGTATGATGAAACTGACTTTAGTGTTACACTGTGAAATATTTTAACATTTCAACACAACTCAAGTCTCAGGGCCCCTTTCTTTATTCTTCCTAAATCATACTCACAGCTGAATCACAGTGCGACAGGTAGGCAATAGCTTAATCAATCTGCATTCAGCACTGCCCTAGTTTTGAGCAGATGGCAGGAGCAGATAACATCATGGATAATTTTCCCCTCGACTGCCCCAGCAACAAATACATAACAGTTTGTTTTCCTGTTGGTGTCTCTTCCCAAAAACGAAACCTGCCATTATCTGAAGAGAGAGAACAGAAGCAAGGCCTACACAAGCCACTGCAGCCTGGGACTCAATTACACTTGACTAGGGCCTATTCATCCACACTAGTCCCCAGAGCACAGGCAGCACGTTTCTGGGGGAGACCAGAGGGACTTGGTTCACCTGGGAGACTGCGTGTGACAGCTCCATGATCCACTGTATCAATCATCCATTCAGACTGATGAGTTGCCATCTGCCATGGAGTATTTCAGAGGCCATTTGGCAGGTGAACTGCAGTAAAACACTGGCATTGTTTTCATGCAACAGATTAAAAATCTTTTCCCTCCTGTACACGAGAAAAAATCAGTAATAAATCATTTTTGCATTTGTAAAGTGAAGACTCTTTATCGTGCCAAGTTATTAAAATAAACCAAAAAAATCTCTTGATTTATTCACAGGGTAAGTGAGCTTCATCTTGTAACATCAAACAAAAATCCCTTTAATGATGAAAGCGTGGCTAACTTATATTTTCATTTTCCCCTTCCAAAATCTTTAAAAATATATAAATTATAAATAAACTCCACTGATAGCCAATCTGGTATTCCACAAAATGAAGAAATATTAACTTACAGAACATATTCTTATACCATAAATTTTACAGTTCCTTCCATATGTAATACCCCTTTGGAACAAAGTCTGCTATTCAAGCTACTGATGTCAGGATATGAGTTTGATTTTATTTATAGCATGAAAGTGTTTTTGAGTGATGTTTAAACATGACAGACTCATTCTATGACTATTAATTGTGAAAAGGGCTTCATATACAGTAGTTTGGTGTGCAATATCAGGAAATTCCTTTTTTTTAATGATTAATATGCTTAATGACATTGCATTTTATCTAAATAATATTTTGATAAATATTTGCCCATCTAATACACATTTTCAGGAAATTATAAACAGGTAGGAAACAACCTGTCATGTATTATACAACAAGAAACCCACATACTGAGTACTGTCCTGTTGAAAATGGGGGAACTTTTGCATTGCTTGTCATCTACTGAGTGGGAAATGAGAAAATACTGTATGTCACCGCACAGTGTGCAAAGAAAAAACTGTGCTTGCCACTCGCTTGCGCATGCATAAAAGATACATAGGTTTGCCAGTTTTAATCGCACAATAATCACTGCTGTCATTCACAAAAAGAAAGGGCAGGGCATTACAGGAATGTTGCTTGCAGGAACATTACAAAGTGCATTTGTTCGGGAATTCAGGATCCATCCATCAATTGCCTCTGGGCCCACAGCAGCACTGCCAGTTAACAGGAACCACCTGTGGTCAACCAATAGACACTCTAAAGTGTATACTGACACCCGCAACACCAACTAAAAAAACACTTTTTTACAGTATTAGCTATGGCTGGAAACACAATAATCCATCATCCTATTATATGGGGACCCATAAAATGTTTTACAGGAATAAGGCAACTCAAAGACACCAGCATCCAACGTAGTCAAGCCTACAATGGAAACAAAATGACATAGCTGGGCTGCATGACTGGCTTTTGTGCATAAGTGCAGACAATTACCCTGGAGTTCTGGTCAAATATGGCCCTGGTGTGAGTGTGAGTGTATTTGTATTTGTGTGTGCCCCATTCAGGGTGTATCCTGGCTTACACCCAATGCTACCTTGGATACGTCCTGGGCCGTTGCATCAGTGAATTGGATAAGCAGGTATTAAAAGTGATGGTAATAAGTAGGTTAATTGATTTTGATTCCTTCCTTAATTTAATGTCTGGCTGGCAAGTTGTGATGCAGGACCTCAATACAATTTAAGTAGACTTACACCGTGACCCTGGTGTAGTTCCCATTGGCATAGTACAGGTAGCATGAGGGGAAGTCTGTGACCCTCATTCGGGAGACCAGGCCCTGCTCACTGCTCAGCACCCTCCTCACCGCAATGTTCTCATACTGCAGCAAGTCCAGCGTTACCTGAAAACACAAAGAATGCTTTCGCTACTGCTTCCATTCATACCCCTTCACAACACAAACACACCAGAATTCGACACAATGACATATTGGTTTTCCTTGTACAGTATATTCAAGCCACTTTCAGAAGCACACTTCAAAAAGCAATGAACACAATACACCAAAGGCCAATGCCCTGCATTGGAGCATCTGAAGTCACTTCAGAAGTCAGGAATGTCATGACACCGCAACAGGTTTATTATTATCAATCAGTATTGCACTGACATCAGTTTCTTCTTTCGTGAGTTTTAAAGGAGTACTTTATTTTACAGTAGGTATTCCTTGTTGAAAACTCTGCTTTTTAATCAACTTGTTATTCACACTGCTCAGCACTTCGACAAAGATACCTAAAAAGAGGACCAGGAAATGCACAAAAAAAGGTAACAATCTTTAAATAAGGTAGAAATGAAATAAGACAATTCTGCCTATCTGGGCTGCTAACAACAAGCTTATAACCCAGACTCCCATTTACCTGATTCTTCAAGAACTCCAGAAAATCTATTTAATAAATATGCTTTTTTTTCCAGACATTTCTAATTTTTGAGTAAACAAATTCCAATATTTGCCAGTTGGCAAATTCCAATATTTCGATTCTATCATAAGAATATTGTTTCAAACTCTGAATCCCCTCCTTAAAACAAGTTCTACTTTTAGAATATTTCACTAATATGGCAAGAGGAAAGCCCTGGGAGCCAAGAAACAGAAAGAAAATCAAAACAAATACAGCTTAATGGGACATGTACAGTAACACATATTGCATTAAATTGCTGGCAAATTCAAATGACAAAATGGAATCCTTCAAACACAGGTCATACGTTCAAATTGCCCCACAGACCTTAGGGTGCAGCCAAAACCCAAGGATCCTCAGAAGGAACGGCAGCCATTTCCAATGATCTGTCAATTATACTGCCTATGTGGCAGCAATGTCAAAGGTGAAAGGTCACAGGGGCATGATCATGCAGTGACTTTGGCATACATTTACTTGTGCAAGCCTGCTTAAGCATTGATCTTGCCAATTCAGAACAAAGCTACCGTATTCTTTAAAGGTACACAGTTCATTTTACCATCACAAAACCTTGATATAAAGTCCTGCTATACAGTGTGATAGCAGCATAGGAGTACTGTGATGAAGCTAATGTACAGCATTCACATTCCTGTGATCAATAATCACAGTACATGTTCAGTATAATCACTCCATCCTAAATATTCTGTATTCATAACTGCTCTGAATGAGTCCCCTAATCAAGAGTAGACAAGATTTTGTCTCGTCACTGACCGTTCATTGTCCTGGCATAATAGAAAGATTATAGCAGTGTAATACGGCTGTTTTTTATTTCTATTTCATTTCATTCACTCTACTGTTGCAACTCACCTCTCGTCCCACATAGGAATCTGCTGTCTCAAAGATGAGAGCCAAGTATTCCACATTGTTGGAATCAAAAAAGTTGTCAATCTCCACCTCACTGCAGCGGAAGCAGAGACATAAAATTCATGTGAGGATTGAATCGTTTTCAGAAACGGAGTTCTAGATCAGAAGATGAAATAGCACAGCTGCTGTGCTGTGTGTGGAGACTATTTCCTGCTATGTGTAGAAGGAGCTCCTGCTTCTGTCCTGCAGCCTTGCTCTGGGACTCTGTCAATCACTGTTAGAAATCCTACTACTTCCTCTCTCTGCTCAAATCTTAACTAGAGTCATTGTTGTATTTGGCCAAAATGGTTACTTTTATTACTGCCTCTGTGACACTACGTTCTGCCTGCATGTCTCTTTAACTGTGACTTCTGTTGTGAGACATCCTTAATTCTTACAAAAATAAAAATACTTATTTTACCCTTCAGCTCCCTCTGTGTTCTAGAAATGTACTACAGTACATTGTACAGGCATAAGGCTATGCCTGAAAATTTAGAATAGTTTAGTTTTCAGTCTTTTATCAATGGCAACGACCCTTACCACAAACCTAATTTTTAGCTTTTATTTTTCTGCGTCTTTATTACTTGTAACTTTTTCATTTTTTCCTTTAGGTCAGACTTCATAATTCACCTTTATCAATCACCATGTCTGGGTGCTACAGTGCATCCTGCACAACAAACACTCAGTGTGAAAATGTATTTCACATAAGCATCATGGCACACATAGAACCCGACATAAGCATAAGAGCTGGCAGAGGAATCCTACTCCCTTGGGCCCCTGAGAAAGGCCCTTAACCCCAACTGCTCCAGGGGCGCCATATAAATAGCTGACCCTGTGCTCTGACCCCAAGCTTCTCGCTCCCTGTCTGTGTGTCTCATGGAGAGCAAGTTGGGGTATGCGAAAAGACAAATTCCTAATACAGGAAATTGTATATGGCCAATAAAGTGATCTTATCTTCTCTTGAAGCTGTCAAGATGATCAGAACCACCTCTATTAACCTAATGTCACGATCGCATCTTTAGTTGAACATGTATTGTGAAATCAATTGGAATAGAAACATCGATCTCTCTAACTCATTAATGGTTAACTCAACCGGTCTGCACAATTGCATGAACCCTGAGAACAGTCTTCATACAGTATACGTATAAATTTTCCTCTTTTGACAGTGGCTGTCCAGCCTCAATGGGTCTTGGAGACAGTGCTGCTATTCCAATGAATTTGCATCCATACACATTTATGCATCCACCTGTTAAAATAATCACTCCATAGTATTGCTGGATACTAAAATTCTTCAGCACTGGCCCACTAAGCTATCTAACTATGTTGTGATGTACGATGCCGTTTTAACCCTCTGTAATAAATCTAAAATGTGGCATGATTCTTTGTAAGCCCTTACATCTGAAGCTTTTTCCTCCAGTTAAAGTGACAGTAAGCCAATATGGAAACCGGAGAAAAACATAATAGGAGACATCCAATATAAGTTCTTGGAATATTTTATTTTGGGTTAGTGCAATTAGAAAAAGAATTTTACAGCACTGTTATAAAGTGATCCAAATACATTTGATAGTTGTGTAAAAACAGACTAATATCTAAAAAAAGGGATCTATCACTTAAGTTAGATAATCATTTTATAAACTTAATTCAAGTGGAAAATCTAAGAACTGCTAAATACAGTTTATATTAAGTATCAAGAGATACAGATCATTTATAACTGCATCAAATTGATAAAAAATAAATTTATTAAAGGGAAAATTAAACTTTTTTGTAGTAGGTGCAATGACATTTTTTGACCAATCCTGAGACAGGGAAATTAATTAATGCTGATTCACACCTATTACCAATGGTGGGGTCAACAGCAAAAGTCACAAGCTAGTAGAATATGTGGTCCCACTGGAAACAATACAAGCAGTACATCTGCTTTGCACCAAGTAGCAGATATCCTGGGATTCTGTCCCATTACTCTTGAAGAGCTTGGACAAACATGTGTTCCTGTTACTGGTCTCTGACTCCTACACGCCACACATCCTTCCACTTCACCCTACACATGCAACGTTGGCATTCAAGTTTGGAGGGCATCAAAAAACAGCATAACTGTTACCTTGTCAATCTGCCCGATAGCTATAGCTATAGTAAGAATTACAGCTTCATTAAGGCTACCTTAAGTCTTAACAGGTCACTTATCAATGCTGTACAAAGAGGGAAAGAAAGTTTAACACCGTAAACAGACTGAGTCCTGTATGGAAGCAGAACTGCCTAAAATGAACTACCCATAGTTCACTGAAACACCAGTCCTGCACAAGGGGAGTTGTGAAGACTAGCACAGGACTCGTGGCAGCTTTCTGAAGAGAAAGCACTGTTTCCTACCTGGCAGGCTCAAGGGGAGGACAGGCAGGAGGCCAGGCCTCCACATTTGACTCCAAGAGGTTGACGATTCCCTGGCGCAGTGTCTTTACATCATGGGGGACATCTGCAGCAGGATAAGAAAAGAGTGCTGTATTCTTTCAGTAAGATCATCATCAACGGATTACCTCACAGAAGGGGGAAAAAAACTAACCATTAACCCTGTAGTTCTGAACACTTAAAATAAATACATTTAACATGCATAAGTTGCCCTTTGATGGCAACAGAAGACAACGTGGTCATAAAATGCAAACTACTGTATATTAAACAAAGGTGTGTAAAATCTGTAAAGAACAAATTAATACATTGTTTAGATAATATTTAATATGTGAGTTTATCAATGAAGAATTGCTGAATACTGTTAATTTGGAACACTGCCACACTTTCCAAAAATCATCCAAGTTCTCCATTTTTCAACTTTCTCAGCAGCAATGCAACCCCATATAACTACAGTGCCTTGCGAAAGTATTCGGCCCCCTTGAACTTTTCAACCTTTTGCCACATTTCAGGCTTCAAACATAAAGATATAAATTTTTTATTTTATGTGA